AATGTATATATCTACTTGTATTGTGGTCAGAAAGTGCATCTGCTAGGAAGTCTTCCATTTTTTGCCATTTGCATCTTGCGGAGAGAGAATTAGGAGGGAAATCAAATGCAGTGTCCCAGCGTTGCCTGTAAATCCACACTGCAAGTGCCAGCTCGCTCGTTTTTCCTCTTAGCAAGTGCTATTAATTGCATGCAAGAACAGCCATGGAAAGGAAAGTTAAAGCTGCTCTGCACATCTCTGAGTTCGGCCCAGATGAAGAACGATTGAAATAATGATCCGGAATTGCTATCCTTAAGACATGACAGAGTGAAAAAAACATCAACCTTGATTTGGAGAGGGGAGAAAGGTAGAGATGGGCTCAGAAAGTCCAGGCTGGTTTGTTTGAGCAGGTAGCAGAGCGGGGGGATGCCGCTCTCGCGCCGCRCGCTCCCCTTGGCCTGGGACAGCAGCGGGGAGCCCGGAGCGGCCGGCGTCCCGGCGCTGCCTTCTGTCCTCCCTCCCTGCCCTTGGCTCCTTGTCAAGCAGCTTCTGTGGGCCCAAAATGAGCTTTGCGAGGAGAGCAGACATGGAAAGCGATTGAGCAGTTGGGCTTGCGCTTGTTTTTTGAGAAGAAATACCCAAATAACATTTTTGAGAAGAAATACACATTATTTTGAGAAGAAAAACACAAAAGCTTAAGAGTTTTCTTTTTTGCAGCTTGCAGCAGATGCTCTTGATCTTTCACTTGCAAGCATAAAATACGGACTCCGCGTTGATAGGGGTGTCTGTAGGGTGTCATCCATCCAGTAAGACCCAGGACTTCCAAAGACATTTTGAGTATTTATKAAAGTTTAGGGAATTTAGGAATTTGGCAGATAGGAGCGTTTTTTATCTCCAAGTTATGTCCAGTTGCCAGCAGTGACTCTTAGCTGCTTTCCTAGATTATTATCTCAGTGTTATTCACCTTACAGTGTCTTTTAAGCATCTGCTCTGATGGCCTTTTGCATTTGCATGTGTTTGAGTTTGCCCTGCATGTGCTTGAGTTTGTCCATAGGGAAAATACACAGTTTAATTCTCACCGGGCCTGAACAGTGGGGTGTGTTCTCCSAAATGCTCCTGCAACCCCTGAGATATATTATTTTAATGCTAATATTTGTATGTCTCCTTTTGCATTGTCCTGCTGAGCCCGTGTATGGGGCGTCACGCTYGTGGCTTGAAGGCTGAGCAACGTCATGTGCGTACAGGAGAGACTCCTGGCTCCGTTTCTTTTGTGCAATAGTGTTTATCATCTCCACCTGGGCCTTTTGTGCGAGGGTGCAGTTGGTTCTTTAAAAAATACATTRCATTTTTTCCATATTCCAGGCGGAGAGGTGGTGAGCAGCCCCGTTCTCCCTGGCAAACCGACACATCCAAAGCAGTGGCAGGTTTTGGGGCACCACGATATGATGCGACCAAAGCGGCTCTCTGGTTCCTAGGAGCAAACCCTGGAGGCTCTTGCATCCAGTTGCTTCCCGAGTGAATTGTCTCTTTTGTCGAGCCCGAGTGTTACCAAAACAAGCGCTCCGGGATTATTTCGACAGGATTGATAATGATCCCAGTTACTGGCTTAGTTAGACCTGATCTGAGAGAGAGSCAAAGATCTCGAGTGCTGTAGAAGAAACCCTTGTTTCTGGTACCTTTTACTCCTTCTATGGATCTTAAATCTGCAGCAGAATCCATAAAAATTAGTTTGGTGCCTGATGCCTTGGCAGACTGGAGCCGTTTGGAACTGCCATATGCTAATTGTCATCTTTATATCAAAGGAGTTCAAAACTGTTTATTTCCATTCCCTCCTACTGCAGACTTTTTTTCCCCTTTCTTTTCTTGCTTGTGTTCAAGTTTCTTTGGTAAACTGTAGGTGGCATAAGGAATATTTTCGTTTCTTGATGCAGTTCCCTTTGCTGGAGGAGGGATACAGTAAGAAGTCAAATTTGGCTTTTTCTGAGAACTATATAAATCAAACAAGCATTATTTAAAGTGCAATGCTGTATTGCTCACTTCCCAGTGACACAGGCTGGTTTATATTTCTTTCTTGACCTTCCTGCCACTGTTTGGGCACCTATCAAAGAAAGCCTCGCTAGACCTTTCCCACAAGCTGCATTTCCTACTTCTATAATCAGCCTTCTGGAGTTTGGGAATTATTGTCTCTAATGCAGAGTGGGCAAATTTACCCCAAAGTAATTTGCTTTATAAAGTATATTCGGTATAATTTGAAAATATTGACGTACCTTGTCCTGCTTTTCACATGGGGAATAACTTTCCCCGTTACTTGAAATCTCGGCTCTGGATTTCACTCCTTTCGCAGGTCCTCATGGCTCTTCTCTAACCATAGGTGCTCTGGGCAAAATCTATAGAGGTGAATTGAGGGACTGACCTTTTCTTTGCTTGTGATGGTTTTAATGCAAAAGAAAGTCAGTAGTTACAGGAAGCCAAATTCTTCATGTGCTTTTGGCCCCAGACAGCCTGATACTTTCCCTGGTGTGGAACAAACCGCTCTTGCACATACGGCATTTTGCAGGTGAGGACCCAGGGAGTGTTTCAAAAGAGTGGATTTGTAGGAACCCGCTTTCCTTAGCCTCACGGGCCCCACATTGCTTTTAAAAACCATACACCATCCCGTAGCCAAATAACGAGTGCTTTGATATGCAAACACAAAAGGAATTTGCCCTGGGATGGAAGCRCCCTCCGAGACGGGGTGGAAGCCGCTGCTGATGCCGTGGGCAGAGCCCCTGTTTCCTCCTGGTCGGAGTCACAGCAGAGCAGCTCCCTGGCGCAGGGGGCTCGCGGGGTGCTTGGCTGGTAGGGGTTTTATGTGGGGTTTTATATTCCTCACCCCACCCTTGCTGCAGGATCCCCACAATCCGTCCCCGTGTCCAAAGCGGCTCCTGGACATTGCGAGAGACATGGGCCAAGATTAGATGCGTTGTCCCCGTGTCCCCACGTTGGAGCACCCGTCCCTTGCTCAGAAGGGTTATTCAGACGCCCTTCTGCCCCCTCACTTGTAATCCCAGGCTGCTGCTTTTTCCATTCTCCAGTATAATATTCCTGTTGCTTCCGAAGGGAATTAGCGGTGTTTCGTATGGTTGCGAGCTGAATAAGAGGGAATAAAGGCAGGGTTTTCTTCTTCCCCACGTAGCCCCGGCGGCCCATGAATCACAGCTGAGAAACTGCTTTGCTAGAGCTGTAATAACCCAAGGCAGCAAAGGGAGAAGTGATTTAAACCTTGAAGCAGTCGATTAAAGGTGGCTTCGGGCGCGGACCTGGGGATTTCTCCTTTGGGAAAACTGCTCCTCTTGCTCCTGGAGTTAACAGGTTGAAGGGGAGCTGCTGGGCCAGTATCACTCAATAACAAACCCTGCTCTTTATTGGGTGAATATGCGTCCTTTTAAATGACGTCTTCAGCTTTTCTACAGGAAAGTATAAAATAGGGGTGTTGATAGATTTAAGTGAGAGAGATTCTGATGTTTGCTGATGTTTAGGACCAAGCTGTCCTAAGCCTTACTTTGGACTTGTAAACAAAACCTAAACTCTTAATTTTATTCGGTGCTGTTTCTACTTCAGTTTTTTCGGTTGATGCTTAAATTTGCTAAAAGAACAGAACGTCAACTTTTTATTCACAAAGTTGCTCTTGAGAAGGTTTCTGGCAGGCAGCTTTGCAGCCCAGCGTGGGCAACGTGCAACTAAATAAATCCCCTTGAGATCCCAGGTGACCGTCAAGCAGCCGCCGGGGTAGCAGCAGCGACTGCCTCCCCCTGCGCCCTGAGAAAGCCCRGGCCCTTTTACAATTACAGGTTTGAACCCAGGCCGGCTATTTTTGAGAGTAAACCGATGTTTTTCCTTTTAATTTGGATCATGTAGCAGCTGGAAAGGGACATTGGAGTGCCTTAAAAAGCCCAAACAAGCTGCAGTCTGGAAGCGAATGCAGGATTGAGCCGGGTGTTTGTTGGGAGCAGCTCGTGGTGCTGGGCCACAGAAGCTGAATGAGTCTGGACAACCTGGCCCCGCTTTRCTTGAGCTAATTCAGATTTAGGGCTTTTTTCCACCTTGGTTTTTGAATGCATCCTTTGCTTTATGTTCGCCGGGATGGCTTCCCTTGCTTTCCTGGTGTGTTGGTGTCTTCTCATCCGCTGTGCTCAGCTCCCTTAGGATAACGCCGTGAACGTGGAAGAGGAGCCCCCAGATTGGAGTCTGTGTCCTGACGTAGCASCGCGTGGTCAGAACCGATGAATTTGTCACTTTGGCATCGCCTTGGCCTAATCTTCAGGCTTTTGTACCACAGTTTCATTAGTGGTGACCTGGAGTAGCTTAACGGAGGACTTAACAGCCAGCTCGTGTCTTTTCTTTTAGAGGAAGAAAATCCCAATTTCCCCTTTGATGTGTCCATCCTTTGTGTTTGCTTTTCCTCTTCTGCAAAGCCACGTACAACCTTTAAAAGCCGGATCGTTGCTGCATTGGTCTGCACAGTTATTAAGGTGACAGTGACTTCAGGCTGCACAAAGTGCCTGGGTGACTTCAGAGCAGGCAGAGCCRGGTCAGGACAGGGTGCCTGTTGGAGCCCTGCCCTGTGTAGGGTGATGATGTTTGTGGGTGCCCRGGACACTGGGAAGCAGTGTTGAATTCCCAGCCTTTTACTGCGCCTCACATTTGGACTGTTGTCTTCTGAAACTGTTTACCTAGAGTATTTATTTCTGCCTTTTTGTATAATAAGAGGTTGCTGCATCTGTGTCTAGAACACCAAGAGAGAGACTGCTTTGAGTGCTTAGTTAATCTATAGGTTCTGATATTGCTTCTGATATCAAGACCTCTGTCATCAAGCTGCATCACTTAATGCCTCTGTTTTATACACACGATTTTGCCCACAGCCTGATATGAGCATTACTTAAAAAATTGGTAGCAAATTTGTAATTCCAGTATGATTTTGAGCCTTGGGAAGGATGGGATGTAGCGAGTTCCTCACATATGGATCTCTCCTCTTCTCCCAGGGCTGCCTCACGGTAGAACATGAGCAGGTAATGCACAAGGAGCACCACTGGGAATCATGTCAGACGAGTCAATCTCAGGGAGTGATCCGGACCTGGACCCGGACTTGGAGCAGGAGGATATGGAAGAGGAGGAGGAGGAAGATGAGGAGGAGGCGATGGAGGAGGACAACGATGGGGATGACGAGGAAGACTTACTTGATGAGAATGGTAAGTGGATGGAGGTGTGAATCTGCACATACGTTCGTTACACAAAACTGGTGTTACTAATTTTGGTGAGAGACACYGCTATAGACGACATAAGGGTTAGGATCTGTCTGGGAATTGGTAGGGAGAAGTGTTTGTGTTAGTTTATAGTTTAAATAGGGATTTAATGTAGGTTAAATTTGGACTCCTGGCCAAAAACATTTCCATTGTGTAACCAAACCAAARCCACAGCCCGTAAGGAGGATAGAATTGCTGAAGTGACTATAGGTTCTGGGAAAACAACAAAAAAAGAAGTAAATAAATCAACTTATGGGGATAAATCTACAGAAGGGATGATGATCTGTGGGCTGCAAAAAAGAGCACGTGGCTCARGTGGAAATTCTCTGAGCTCTCTTTGCCCCCCAGCTCCCTTTATCCTAACACAGCTGCCTATGGGGGTGCCTCTGTGTTCCCTTCCTTTAAAACAATGACTTTCAATAACTTCAAAAAATGCAGAGGTCTTCAAATGCCCCTGCTGCAGCCTTCTGAGCTTGGACTTGTTTTTCTGAGCACAGAATGTGGTAAAGGCAGGTATTTCTCTTGCTTCCTTGTTCCTGAAGTATTTTTGGTTTCAAAGCAGCTTGTCGTTTGTGTGTGTGTGTGTGTGTGTGTGTGTGCTTTTTACTTATTTTTTAATTCTTTCCGTAACTTGCTGATGGAAACTGCTGTATTGATATAAAATGCATGTAAAATGTTTGCACACGTGAATTTTATTCCTCGGATTTTAATCATTCAGTGGCTTTACTGGGAAAATAGCAGAAATGGAAGTGTTAGCTCAGATATGAGAGTTCCCAGGGCAGCAGAGCAAAAGGAACCAACTTTTTCATGTCCAAAGGACCATCCATCCCCCATRGTTTTAGTCACAGACCTATGTATTTTATCGTGTACATCAGTGTTGCTGCAACTGAATACTCGTATCATTTCTTGGGCTTATCCTGTGTATATCAGCACATTGCTAAGCCTTAATAAAAGCTCTTTGCTATAATTTAAATTCAGACCTTAGTAGAAAACACTGGAAACGTGTTTATGCTTTGCATTTCTGTAGTAACTGATTAAAAATAAATTTTAACCAAAGGAGGAAACGCTGAGGAGCACTAAAAGGCAATTTACATGTAATTGGCCAAAAAATCAGTTGAGAAATGAAAGGAGGTACTTTTGCCCATCTGATGTTTATAGCTTCAGGTGCAGGTCACCTCTTGCAAATCCTCTTGGGGAGMGTGCAATTACTTTTAATCATTTTAAAAGGTTAATTTTCCCCATCTCTTGGAGAAGTTTGCCCCTCCCCAGCCACATTGTTCCTCCTTTTGCTTTTTTGGTTATTCTGAAGATGTTTCATGAGGAACTCTGGGTGGAGGGTCCTCTGCCCCTGCTGTACAAGGACCCATGCTTGTTTCCAGCACTACAAGATCCAAAAGATCCCTACTTCTCCATGGTTATTTCCTTGGAAGGGCTAAAGCTTGCTTAGATTTTTCCCTTACTGAAAATTATTGTTTTAATGGGAGGTAATGATAGCAATTATAAAACTGGAAGTTTTGCTTGTTCCRTTTTGAAATAGTGACTGTGTTTGGGGCATTTAGGCCTTCTGTATTTTGACAGTGATGATGACTCCTCAAGAATCTTTCAAGCTGCGTGTGATATTACCCAAACTGTTGATATTGGGTCGTCTCAGTGTTGGCAGCAACTCGGGCCTTGCACGTTTAGTCTGGTTTCAGCTTTTCGGTCTATTTTGGGTGCGGAATTAATAGTTTTGCGGTGCTGATCATTTCAAAGGCAGGGACCGCTCATCCCTCGGAGCCTTCCCGAGGAAAACTCCTGCGCGTTGGAACGAAGCCCTCTGTCGTGCTCTGGCTCTGCATTTTTTTTCCCGAATGGCTTTGGATTATTGTGATCAAAGTGTATAGAATTGATAGTCTCCTATTTGCACATGTAACCCGCCATTATAGGGGTGGCAGGTTGCATCTTTTCCCGCCTCTTGAGCTGCCTTAAACATGTTTTTAAAGTGCTGCCCAGGGTGAAAAGTGTTAAGAAACTGATTGTTTCAGTGTTGTGCAAGGCGTCCTTRTGGGCACAGGCCTTCATGTACTGTCCTCAAAGGCTACCGGTTGTGTTTGCTTTGCAAGGAGGGGGTACAGCAGGCAACAAACTGTACAGTTTTTAACGTACACACATACCAGAAAACACCAAACAATAGCCCAAACAACTGCAGCTGTGATGCTGCCAAGACCTACCCGCTGTTACCCTKGGGTTGTGCCCTGTGTTGCTCATCTTGGTTATTTTTGCCTGTCTTGTCCCCTCCTTTGTCCCCAGGTTTGGGGTGGTGGTAGCTCCATGATGGATGGAGGCAGTCCCTCTTCCCTATCACATTTGTGCTTGTTATTTGCTCCACGCCAAAGTGCTGGAGCAAAACAAAACTGCCCTGTGTAGGGTTAGTGTGAACCCCGGGACTCTGAGGGGTGAATTTGGGACTCACCTGTGTTGATGGGACAGAATCCCAAACCCTGAGAGGCTGGAGGACATCAGCTTGGRCTGCAGCTCCATCATAGCAGGAAGGCGTCGGGGTCAAGTCTCACCTCCACATTGAAGGCAGGTTGACACAGAGGTTAGTGAGGAGGAAGAGAGACCCTTGTCCTCACCTTGCCCTCTGTAATCCCTGCTCACCCCGTCCGTGAGGTTTAGTAGCGTCATGAAGGATCCAAGGAATATCACCTCTTGCTCCTGGAGCACATTCCAGCTTGTTTGTTCCATGGCTCCTTGTGTTTGAACTTGAGCGTGCGCTATTAAGAGCTCGAGCTTTTAGTTCCTGGGAATATCAGACCAGGAATACTCAGATGATTMACACTGTTAATTCAGGCTCATTAAGATCTTCACTTCTTCTTGGGCACTTACTAGAAAAAAGTCCSTTTTGGTGAAGGACAGCAGCTAGATGAGGTTTGTGCGTAATTTTTGCTTGGATATTGGAGAAAAAGAAAAGTTCTCAGAAAACAGCAGCAAGAAGGGGTTTATATTTGAGGTCGTGTTCAGCTCTGCATCCTCATGGGGCTTGTTATTGGACTGAAAGTGCAGTTTTTTGCAGCTGACGTGATAATTTCCTGACCTAACCTAAAGGGAGAAGTAAGTGGTTAATACCATACTTAGTAGAAAGTTCGTTAGTACCTGGTGTTATTAAAGCTGAAATTATTTGGTAAATCTGCTCCTAACGTGATGTGGAGGAGTAGATTAATGAGCACAGACCTTGGGAGCGGCGTTTCCGAAGCAGCCTCCTCCTGGAGCACCAGACTCTGCGTTCCCTATGGGGACACGGTGCTTCTCCGTGGGCTTCTCCTCCCAACTCTTGTCCAACCCCACTACGTGCTGGAACCAAACCCAGCTCTGCATGTGGGAGTGCCCAGATGAGCGTGTTGGATTGAAGAGGGAGCAAATTCCTCTCCTCCCAGGGCAGCAGAGGAGCTTGGTTGGTATGAATCTGTTCACTTAGCTTGGTTGGTATCAATCTSTTCACTTAGCAGGATCCTCTGCTCATTTCCATGAGTTTTTCCCTTTCAGCTTGAGCTATTCCCRTAAATTGGGTCATGCTCTACTCACCTGCATGAAACTGAGAGGCAGAGGCAAAAGATAATAGTCTCTGAGCAATACTTGGTTAAATAATACCCCGTGTGGTGTCATTTTGCATCCACGTTTATAAGGGCAGGAGGAGGGATAAAAGGAGCCACTGTTGGAGAGCACAAGGTATTTAATTTTTCCTTGGGCTGCATGGACCTTCTTGTACTAGCAAGTGGATGTGCTAGCAAAGCACGGAAGGAGGTGAGGAGGATTCCTTGATTTTCCAGCTCTCCTGTGTCCTGTGTKTCCCCAGGCCACAGCAGTGGGAGCCTGCGCCTCGGTCTGCAGAGCATGATGTGAGTTTTGGGGACAGGAGAGGTGACAGACATCTGTTTTTCCACCTTTATTTAGGAGCTTTTCTGTCTTTTGCTGCTTTTATTTTCATTACTTGGGACTGCAAGGAGCTCTCTAGAAGGGTCCATGGGCAGTGCTGGAGATCAACATCATGGTGGTAACAAACCTCTACTCAGAAATAAATCCGAAGCCCAACAGTGACCCTAATCTGGTAAATGTGGGTAACCAGACCCGACTTCTCTGCACTGCTGGCTATTTTGCAGTTCTTAATTAGATTTTAATGCTTGTGGTAACCTTCTGCAGAAGGTCTTGCAAGCCAAGAGCTGCATGCAAACAGGATGGGGCATGGGATATCTGAGAGACACAAAAGTCAGCTTCTCTGTATGCCAAGTGTTTTACCCGTGAATGAATGTCCCACTTGTGTTTAAACATTACCAAAGTGTCATGGGAACCTGCATTAGCTTAAATATATATATCTTAAAAAAAAAAAAATTCACACACATATATATGTATCCTTGCAGATCAGAATRTTTAAATGTGATTTATTGGAGTAGAGTGACTCGAGGGTCAGCAAGCATGTAGCCAGCTGCAGGACTTTGATGCCTTTCGCAGCTGCCTGTATAGTTAAGAAGATTTAAAAGAGGAAGTTTTACCTGGTTTTGAGAGGAATAGGAGCACCTTCATCACTGCTGTGTGTCTGATGAGCATATGCTGTGTTCGGCTGCTTTCCTGTAATGCTGAGGGTCGCAAAATAATAGTAGGGAAGGGACAACGTGACTTTGCCCAGGTCTCATGAGCCTTGGAGGAAACCAGAGTCCAAATCCTCCACTTGACATTTTCAGCAATGCCCCTTTTCCTTCTAGGTGAGCCGGGCAGGCTTTCCCATTGAGATGGAACTGCACAACAACTCCTTGGTCTCCCTTTTCCATAATTCATCCGGCTTTGCTGTCTTAACTCCACTTAAATAATCTGTGTGCACAGCTACGTGTTGTGCATGTACAGTATTTTTGGCYGAGAAGAATTGGCAAGCTTGGTGGGAGAGGAAACTTTGAATTAAATGACGACTATTC